TGGTGGGGGTGGGGGTATGGTGGGTAGTACCAGGGATTGAACTCATGGGCATGACCACTGAGCCACAGACCCAGCCCTATTTTGTATTTTATTTAAAGATAGGATTTCACTGAGTGGCTTAGCACCTCCCCATTGATGAGGCTGGCTTTAAACTGATATTTCTGTTTCAGCCTTCCGAGCTGCTGGAATTACAGACTTGTGCCACCAAGCCTGGCTAAAATTCTTGTCTTAACTAATGATTAGCTCTTTTGGCCCGACAGGTAATAGTACTTCAAAATTCCAGAATAACATCTGGTTTGGCAGTAGTCACTCAGGAGTACCTTAAGGGGATGCTGCAGAATTAGGTATACTGAATAATCCACTGGCTTTAACAACCCCCAAAGTAGGCTCAGAATTAATTCTAAACGACTCCTCTGACTTCCATTGTGTAGACTAATACAAGTCAAATACTTAACAGTATCACAGTAATTTTTTTAAAAAAAAGGTTCGTGGTTCTTTATTAAATCCCTGATAATCGGGCTGGGGATGTGGCTCAAAGGGTAGCGCGCTCGCCTGGCATGCGTTCAGCCTTGGTTCGATCCTCAGCACCACATACAAAGAAAGATGTTGTGTCCGCCGAAAACTAAAAAATAAAAATATTTTTAAAAAAATAAAATAAAATAAATAAATCCCTGATAATCTCCAATTTCTTTTTCTTTTCTCTTTTTTTTTTTGAGAGAGAGAGAATTTTTTTTTAATATTTATTTTTTAATTTTCAGCGGACACATCTTTGTTTATATGCTCGCATGCCAGGCAAGCACACTACCACTTGAGCCACATCCCCAGCCCCAACAGTAATTTTTTTAAAGTATTTTTTAGTTATAGATGGACTTAATATATTTATTTTGTTTACTGATTTTTATGTGGTGCCGAGGATCAAACCCACTGCCTCACATGTGCAAGGCAGGTGCTTTGCCACTGAGCCCCAAACCCCAGCCCCTATCACTGTAATTCTTACAAATGAAATAATTCATTCTTAAGGAACATACATGTTAACTCCCTTTTTCCTCTTTCCATGACAAGTACAATTCATAGAGTCATGCCAGGTAAAAAGAGAGAGGGAAAAGACAAGATTTCTCAAATAACTTATTTTTTCTGGTACTAGGGATTAAACCCTGGGCTTTTACATGCTATGCAAATGCTCTACCACTGACCAACATTCCTAGTCTTTTACATTTTTAGGTACTGGAGACTGAACTGGTGGGTGCTTAACCACTAAGCCATATCCTCAGAATTTTTTAAAATTTTATTTACTTATTCATTTTAGTTGTTGATGGACCTTTTTTAAAATTTACAAGTGGTATTTAGAATCGAACCCACATATTCAAGGCAAGTGCTCTACCACTGAACCACAACTCCAGCCCATCCTCAGATTTTTTTTTTTTAATATTTATTTTTTAGTTGTAGTTGGACACAATTCCTTTGTTTCATTTATTATTATGTGGTGCTAAGGATTGAACCTAGGGCCTTGCACATGCTAGGTGAGTGCTCTACCGCTGAGCCACAACCCCAGCCCCATCCTCAGAATTTTTTATGTTTAATTTTGAGACAGGGTCTAAGTTACTTAAGGCCCTGCTAAATTGCTAAGGCTAGCCTTAAACTTCCAATCCTCCGGCCTCAGCCTCACAACTAGGATTATAGTCCTGTTTCACCATGCCTGGCTACATTTTTAATTTTAGACAAAGTCTCACCAGTTCCCTCAGATGGGATAACAGGTGTGTTCCACCATGCCTGGCTTCTCAGAACATCCAATATAGCATACCCCAGGGCTGGGCCCACCTAGTCTTACCTGTTCAAAGCCAGGTTCATTGTGGTAGGGGTTCTCGGTCATCAAGGACTGGATAGAGATGAGCACAGAAGAGATGCTCTGGGCTGGGCTCCAGGCAGGGCCAGTCCATGTACTGCAAACACAGCAGAGGAAAAAGGTAAGGCAGAGAATAACCAGGGAACACTGACAGCAGCAGCACCATAGTAGTGACTCACCATAAGTTTCTGTTTCACTATCAATATTCTGGAAATTCCTAGCCTCTTTCTCAACCTCATTCACTAAAAATCAGTGAACTGTCTAATCCTCATATCAAGTGGGACAGAAGAAGAGGGTAAAAAAGCAAGAAGGTAACTTTGGGCTAGAAAGGAAACTGTAACCAAAAAAAGCTACCATATCAAAATGAAAGAAGTTAAGAAAATAACTCTAAAGGTGTCTAAATGCTAATCTCTGTGGACCACAAAAAGCTTGCTTATTTATTTATTTATAGGTAATGGCTGAGTCAGTGAGGGGAAAGCAATTGAGCAAAGAAGCACACAGGTGACTAAAACCATCTAGTTAGAGGCCATGTGGTAGGACTGATGATCAGGGATAGAGTTCTGTACCAAGCCCTCAATGAGTGTTCTGAAGACCACATGAGACTGCCAGAGGAGGAAGAGAAAAGGGATATATGTAGAAAACAACTTGAACATGAAGATAAATACCAAAGCTGCTTCTTTTATAAACCTAATCAAGTATTAAGAAGTCAGTTAATAACATTTAATTTTAGCTCTATTGACAAGATGGCACTGGAGCTGAAAGCTGAACAAAACCTCAGGAGTACCTTAAGGGGATGCTGCAGAATTAGGTATACTGAATAATCCACTGTCCTTTCCCTGCTACACGCAAAGAAGGCCTAAGTTACTTACAAGCAATTGTAAGTTCATTGGAGGCTGCTCTTAAGTGCTTCCAACCTGCTCTCTTCTAGCTCTGCTCCCCTAGGAACTCTATCCCTGCTCTCCATGACTTTACATTTTGGGAATTCAAATCAATAGGGTCAACTCTCACTCCCCCCTTTTTTTGGTCGGCCCAGTATTTTTTCTAGGTAGGGAGGGAAGCAATGAGGCTAATATAGTCAATTAAGAACACGTAGGGATTTTTGACTGACTGATTCTTCATAGCAAAATTTCTTTAAAAAAAAAAATACATACATATATATATATATATATGTATAGTTGTAAATGGACACAGTGCCTTTATTCATTTATTTATTTTTATGTGATGCCGAGAATCAAACCCAGTGCTGCACATGTGCCAGGCAAGCACTCTGCAAGAGCCACAACCCAAGCCCCTCTTTCTTTCTTTTTTAACAGTAAAGGGGTTGAACTTAGTGGTGCTCTACCACTGAACTATATCCTCCCTCAGACCTTTTAAAATTTTTTAAACTTTTGAAACAGGTTCTAAGTTGCCAAGGCTGGCCTTGAACTCACGATCCTCCAGCCTCAGCCTCTGCCTTCTGAGGATCTGGAATTACAGGTGTGTACCACTGTGTCTGGCTTGGCAAAATTTCAATTTCAGGGTAACTTCTCTTTTTCCACACAACACAATTCTGCTGCTTTCACCTTACCACTTTACTTTCCCTGTTTCTCTTGTGAGCTGGTGTCTGCCCAAGGAGCTTCATATTGGCCTAATGAGGGAGAACTTATTACAACACACTTTCATGAACAAATTTCATGACTAAATTTCTTTTCCACCATAGGGGAGATACATAGACACACACATGCTCAACCACTCCACAAGCGCAGACAATTATGTACTTTAATAAAATAAATAACTTCTTTAAGGACAACCTTATTTAAAGGACTGCCACACTGCCATAATCACAGCAGAACATATCCCTGGAGTTGGGAAAGTTCTATCTAGAAAAACGAATCATATCTTCAGTATGCTTCAGCATACCTGGAAATGTCTTGACAGGAATAAAGAAAACAGGATCACCAGTTTAGACAACTTTCTCAACCTTCAACCTATATTTGTTGTCCACTCCAGAAAAGTTCAGACCACAACAAAAAGACCAACCCACAGTATGCTAGAAGTAATTTTCATTCAGAGCTTTTAACTCACAAAGGCAATAAGATGGAATAAATGGGAACTCCATGAAACAAAATCTTCAGGAAGATATAGTTTTATTTCATATCTGACATGAGTTTCAATGTCAGACATTTTCATTCAATTGTTAAATTATAACCATTATCATCACCTCTGCTGTCTCCAAAGCCACTCATTGAAAGATTCAAGAAAGACATCCACAATCATGAATGGCACAGATCTGCAGCCTTTCTCAGAATAGGGCCCTAGTCCCCTAAGGGAGTGGTTCTCAAACTAGAGGATACAACAGACTGCTAGCCCCACCCAAGAGTTCCTGATAAGAGTAGATCTGGGGTGGGGCCCTAAATCCGCAGATGCTGTTGCTGTGGCTCAGGGACCATGCTTTGAGAACCATTTCATAAGAAATCCCTTTTGTATGTAATAATTTAACTTCCCTCCTTTGTATCTGGTATAACATCAGTGATGTTACCACTCTTGGGAGAATTGATAAAGGGTGTCCCTACAGTAATTATTTTCTAACAACCAACTTGGCCACTTAGAAGTCTCCTCTTACCCTAGAATACTCAAGCAGACTTTCCCATTGCGGTAGAAGTTGGGGTTAAACCTCACTGTGTTATTGCCCGTTGTCATCAGTTTGACCCGAGGTGGGTGGATGGGATAGTCGGGCGGACACCGAAACACGAACAGGAAGAAACCCCCTTCATAAGGAGTGTCAAATGGGCCTGTGATCAATGCATGAATCTGCAAAATAAAACCCCATCTCAAAATTGTGAGGTGATGCCCGACCCCAACCCCTCCTGGCTTCCACCTGCTACCCCTGGCAGAAGCAGGGCTCATAGTCTGGTGTCCATATTCCATATCCTCACTATGCAGAATGAACATCCTGTACTCAGATTGAAATTTTTAAAAAATCACATTATAATGGAGCAGCATCTGAGTCAGTGGTCATGTTCTAAAGTTAAGAGCCCAAAGTGAAAACTGAATCTATTAAAAAACCACCCCTAGTATCCCTCCCTTAAAGCACAGTTTTTGTTACCAGGGATTGAACCTAGGGGGACTTAACCTCTGAGCCACATCCCCAGGCCTTTTTATTGGGGGGGGGGGAGACTGCTTAGTGCCTCACCATTGCTGAGGCTGGCTTTAAACTTGCAATCATTTTGCCTCAGCGCCCAAGCCACTGGAATTACAGGCTTGTACCACCATGCACAGCAAAACATGGTTTTTCTATGGACATCCCTTATCAATTTTACATACAACAAATGGACAGAATATCAATGTAAAAAAATATAATATGGGTCTGTAATGTTAGCATTTTAAGAAAGCCATACATATTTTTATTGCGTATGTATGTTTGCATTTACCTAGATTAAATATGCATATGATGAATTCCACCCCACATGTATGTTGCATGAAGGGAAGGTATGATGAATGGAAAAGAGGAAAGGAATTGGAGGTCACAGCACCAGTGCCAGTGTAAAACTGAGAATTACAATGATATCTAAGTTGTCTGTCCACTTGCTTCCTCCACAGAGGATCAAACCCACTTTGGAGGATATGACTGAGGCAGCATACACCTGAGAAAAATGGGGAAAACTCAGCTTCCACTCAGGACCATTAGACCATTCCCAGAACTTTCCCTAACACTGCTGGTTAAAAAATAAATAAATAAAATTAGCATTCCTTAAACAGAACACTAAATTCTCTTCTTCCTTAAGCCCTAATTGTTGACCATGATTTTCCTTCTTAAAGGCAGGAAAACCTAAACTGACTCAGTTATATTTCAATTTCAAAAGTTCCTAAAGTCTGCTCAGAATTCAAACAGCAAAGAGGAAAAGGACCTTGCAATCAATCCCATGCCTCAAGCTGTAGTCCCTATCTTTCCCTGGTAACACCTTGGGTTATATTCTAGCCCCCAATCATTTGGAATAGCAAACTCAACTGATTTCAACATGGCATCAATTCTGGGACCCCCAGGAAACAACATATTAACACTAATATTTGACTGGAGACACAAGATGTCCCAGGAAATACATTCCCAATCACATAAAAAGAAAAAAAAAAATCAAGTTAAAGGGAAGCTTATTCAAAATAAGAATATACCAACAATATAAAAAGTGAATTTCTACTTTAAGAAATCTGAAACTGAGTTTTCACTTAACACTAGATTTAAACAATCTAATTTTCCCCCAACACCAGTTTATGTGAGAATTCACTCCTGAGGTCAGAGCATTCAATAAGAGAAACCTGGTTATCTATGCCAGAGGAATTTTAGACATTATGTATTAAGCTTTCTATCTGTGTGGAGGATGAGAGGAATGGTCTTTGGGTAGTAGGGACATTCAACAACAACCAATAAGGATAGGCATCTAAAAAAGGCCCCTTTTCCACAAACACTTCAGCCAAGCTGACCCTATCCCCAACTTTCCCTGGATCTGATTTTCATTACCACAGGTAAGTCAAGAGTGGCAAGATCAGGAAAGAGCTGTGTAGTATGTGTAGTACAATGAATAGGGTGATCATATAATTTATCAGCCCGACTAGAACATTTTAAGAGGGAAAGAGTGGCCTATTAATAGTTAAGCTGGGACAATAGGCATAAACCAGGATTTTGCAAGCCAATTAGTTTTTATGTGCATCCCGATAATAGATACCTGATCAAGGATCTGTTCTACCTCATTATATGTCCTCAGACAACCCACCTATCTTCTTGGGGTCTTGATTTCTTCATTTATAACCAGAGGGGTAAGCTGAATAATCTCTTTTAGGTTCTTCCAACGTCATGGGCCCCATTTCCCAATAACCCCCAATCCCCCATCAAGTTACATACCTTAGTCATGTCAACAGTATCAGGTACAACGAACATTCCTGGAGGAGGCTCCTTATAAATGGACATGATATCCCTGTATAACACCAAGAGGAGGTAGGGGAAGGAGTGAGGGAAGAGGGAAAAAGGGAATCCCCTGAGCAGGACAGCTGTTATCACCTCACTGAAGCCCAGGTTGGAGAAAGTGGTACTGGGTACCACAAATGTTTGTACTGCCTTGTTGGCTGAGAAATTTCAGTACTTGTCGGGCAGGCAGACAGCAAATTATTATCAAAGGGGCATTGTTTCTTTGGGGGAGGGTAGGAAGAGTTGGGGGGGAAAATCAGAGATCCCAATGGCATCAGATATCACCCTGGAAAAGCCACATCCCATTTACTCTCACTTCCTCCCACATGGCGACTCATTCACTTCCCACCTCCAAGATTCCCAGGTACTATACCGAATGCAAAATAAGGATCGTTTTTAGTAACTGGGAAGGCATAATTAACTCCACTAAAAAACTAATTCCATAAACCATACAGTGGACCCCTCATTGGCAAGGTAATTTTATGAACAAGCAAGCCACAGAAAGCAAGATTATCAGTGATCTTCTTGCCCAAGGGACTAATAGGGTAGAGATCTTTTCAGGCTGGGGAGGGGGACCCTCTGATATTGTTAGAATCTCACATCTGGAAGATAACACATGGTGACTACTACAGATGAGAGAACTTCTAGGTCATACCACCAACAGGAATGGAACAGTTGAGACCAACAGGCCAAAGGAAAAAAAAAAACCATTCTATATGAGGAAATATCTAGGGACTTGCTAGGGTGGGTAGGGGCATAAAAAGTGTAAAAAGGTGACAGATCAGAGCCAAAGAAGTATGGGCTAAACTCAAAGGTGTACCAGGAATGAAATGGCTGAAGGAATGTCAAAGTTGAGTGCTGAGTTTGAGTTAGAGATGGCAATAGTTGGCATCCTGTGTCAGGCACTGTGCCAGGTACTTTACACACATTGTAATGTTCAATTTTCATTACAACCTTGGAAAGTAGGTAGAGAGACATACTAAGAAACTTGAAACGTGGGAGATAATACCTAGATGAGGATTCTGTCATGGGGGAATGGGATCAGTTTGGTCATAAGGAAACAGATTTTAATACTGGTAGTACTACTCTTTTCCCACTTGATAAGTACATACTAAACATTTTTGCAAAACGTATTACCTACTAAATGATATGATCTAAGATCAGTCACCCAACAAGTAAGTACAGAAAGGACTTAGGCCTTTGTTCCTATATTTAAATTGAGTACATCCACTTCACAAAAGTTAACCAGAAGACGCCGGCAGAGTGTGGGGGAATACAAGAAAGAAGGTTCTGAATGGGCTATTACAATCCAGAGTGACACTGAGGGAAAGGGAACCTGAGTTTCGGGAACAGGTGAGAGAGTGGACAGCTTTGGAATACCAGAAAAGGGGTTAAAGGGAAGATCTGGGTGAGTGAGGGCAGAGATTTAGCCAAGGAAAGGGACTTTGTGGTGGGGATTTTAGGAAACAGGGTAAAACCAAGGATAGCTCGAGTGTACCGCAGGGCAAAGGAAGCAGAGTGTGCGTTACAAACCCGGCTCTAAAAGAGACCAGGGGGGTACGATGGGTGGGGCCTGCGGGCTGCATCTAGGTAGTGTGAGGAGGGGAAGAGGGAAGAGGGGCGGCGCGGAGGGCGGGAGGGGGTGTTACTGAAGCGCGAAGGGGTCGGGTTTCGGGCGGGAGGTAGGGGTGTGGGGGAGGGTGTCCGGAACGGAGCCTGAGGGCTCACCGGAGGTTGCCGAGGGGCGGGGTCGACCTGGGCTAGCCAGAAGGGGTTTAGGGCTTGTGGTGCTAGGGGCGAGGTGGGAAGGGGAAGAAGTGACTAGGACCCCGGTGCACTGGGCTGGCAAGATTTGGGCTGGGAACTGGGCCGCGGGGGTGAGCTGTAGTGAGGAAGGGTGGGG